TAATCATATGTTTAGTACGTATTTTTTTAAAGATAGATAGTCAGTCGTACATAGACGTGTTTACCCTAGGCGTTAATACTTCTAACTTCGAAGGAAGGAGACTTTCTTTCGACATTGATGATATCAGAAACAAAAACGTGATAGATTACGAATTTGTTTTGTTTTTGATTATCGTCAAATACCTTTATGATGTTAAAGTATGACGCAGGATTGCATATTTGACACATTTTTTTTACTATTGAAAAATAATTTGGAACTGCGAATTACTAGTTATCTGGTTACAGCATATTTTCTGGCTCCTCAGTACTGGCGTTCGAAAAAAAATAATTAAAAACAGGTATATATTACATGTTATTGAAATAAATTATTTAGATAAAAACACGTACGAAGAAACGTACGTGTATATGCACCTACCTGTAGTGTTTTCAATATAAATATTATTGATTTAAAAATACTTGTACCGAATTAGTACGGAGCTTGGTACTTAATTTCCAGAAAAATTTAACCAGGCTTAACGTTTTCTGGATATAAGCTTGAAATAAAGAGGTTAGCAGAAAAATTAAAAAATATATTGTGACCTGCATTTCTTAAAAATTGATTTAAAACAAGTGCGGTGGACATGTTTAAATAATTATCAGCAACACTGCAATACTAAAAAAGTAAAAAAAGCAGCAACACCTAAACGGTAAAATTGATTACAATAATAGTTACAAATATTATTATTTCTTTCACTTCACTTTTTATTTTTATGGCTCCATCATTTATTATTTCCTTAAAGGCTGAATTAGATTGTAATTGTAACAATAATGACATTGACATCTGATTTGTCAATATATTTTTCATGGCATTGGCCATTAGCCCATTAGCCCAAAAATTACACAAAATAACGTATTAAAAACAATTAACGATTTTCTGGAAATTGCAAGTCAAAAAAAATTTTTTTTTCTATTTAGGATTTGTCGATTTTTAGAGCTCTTTATAAAAAACCAACTGATAGCCTGTTTAAATTTTCGATTTTTTTTTAGTACCACTAATTGAACAACCCTATTGATAACACGTTAAGGCCCCTAATAGTGCGATGACCTACGCGGACGTTCGTGACAGACTGTAGAATGTATTATGCCTATACAGCACATTCAATGCGATGCGTCTGTGAGCCACAATTTTTCGTCCGCTCGCTCGCTCGCACGCATTCACGTCTAAAAACATTTTCGCGGGTGCAAAATTGGTGAATACAAAGAATGTCAATTATCCAATCCCACAAATGCTAAAGCATCAAACATTACGGTAAATATAGGACGCGCTAGCGTTGGAGTGAGGCGACGCCGACGGTGCAGGATGGTCTTCGGTTCTCTCACAGGTCTTTGAGCAGCGCTGACTTTGCGTTCTTCAGTTTATCCAGGCGCTTCGTTAGGTGACTGTTCTCTGTTTCTAGCTCTTCCACTCGGTTGAGTGCCTCGCGTGCCTGTTATAATTAAATTGCTTTTAATTTGGTGTTTCATAATTCTTTATTGCACAAAGAAAAAACACATAAAACACACGTTACAAAGGACATATACAAAAGTGAGCTTATCTCAAGAAGAGATCTCTTCCAGCCAACCCTAGCCGTGGTCTAAAAGTGAAGTCTGCGTGACTAATTATTGTACAATAAAATTTAAATTTAAATGTGACTAAAAAATATATAAATGATGGTAATATACATGGACTTTATATACATATATAAGCTGAATATAAGTTATAATAACAAAATACTAGTTTATACTAAATAAAATACTAGTTTCATGTCGTCAGCGGAAAGTTAACAGTTAAAGGCACTTTCAAATTAGAATTAGCTTGTAGAATCTAAATATCGAGTCATGACCGCCGAATTACCGTAAGCGACATTTTTATATAAACAGCATTTTTATTGCTAATTACATTTTAAAACTATAACGGACAAGGACGCGTCGACATTGCCCGCCAAAATTACATTAAATAGAAATTATAGTAAAGGTAAGTTTGTCGTTAGCTTAAGAGGGAGCAGAGGAAAAATTCCTAATCTTCGATTTGATTTTAGAGGGGTATATCCACTTTAAAGTTAAAAATAAAATATTGTATGAGTAACTACACGATATATTCAAGCATAGACATTAATCAGAAACATAAAACAATAAAGTTTACTCGATAGATAAAAATCACGAAATGACCTCTAATTTTCACATTTTTTCGATTTATCCTCGAAATGCTACAGGTTATTAGGAAAAAATTAGATAATTAATTATATTTACGCATGATCGACAACTGTCACTACGGATTTTTTTTAAATCCCTTTAGTTGTAATTCCACGAAGTTTTGAGGTATTTTTTTTATAAAAAAAGTTGTTTGTCGCTTACTAGTGTCGTCGGTAATGACTCGACATTGTATGACAATTAGTAGTAACTGCAGCATCACAGTGGCGCCACTGTAGCGCTTCCATAAGCGTCTAATTCGAAGGCGCCCTAAGTGTTACAATTACCAAAAAGTAAGTTTTATCCAGTAGAAACATCCTGTCAACAATCTGTACAAGGCTTTACATATTCATGCAAGATTATTTAGTTTTAAAACTCATACATTAAAAATTTATGGTATTTACAACATTGTTAAAACATCATTTCGTTTCGCCTTTACGTGGGGTAATTCGTATTATTGTGGTACTGTACACACTATAAACATTGCAGGTGGAGGATTTTTTTGGCGCACTTTATATCAAAGAGACGCAACTTGCGCTTACGAAGTTACTCCGTTCATGCCGCTAGATGGCATTGTCCATTCTTTACATGCAATCGCGGTGTAAAGAATAAAGAATTTTAATAGTCCGGACAAAACGCCTGACTTTTGTAAGAAATTGCGAACTTTTTTGTACCATAATTAAAATCGAAAAATCTCTCACGCGGCATCAGAGATGGAAATGCGCCTGGGCAACAATATTTTTATCGTAAATCGAATTTTACTACAGAATTGCGAGGTGGATATTTTACATTTTATTCTAAAATTCGTTATCCTTGGCCGAAAAATCAGGACAGAAGGTCAAAAAGCAAGAAATGTTTGGGTAAATCTGGACGGATGGTAACCCTACTTATAGACACGTATTTTTTTGTGACGCAGCACTTCGTTTAGTGGCGTAATCAAAGCCATTGGTGAACTGCAAAAATAGCTTCAAAAATCAAGTCATACAGAGTTTATTTAAAATTTTACAATACGGTATGACTATGAATACGAGTTTGTCGGCCTTTACGTCTCTTCTATATAAAGGCGTAGTTGTAAGTTTGGTTGGGAACACACTGTAGCCTCAACTGTACCGTTAACTATCGCCATTATTGATAACGGCCCAGAAGTCAACGACTTCCTGAAAACAAATCACCCACTGTTACTTGTCTATTGAGTTCTTTTAATAAGTTACTACAATTTTAAAAGTAACTTATACTAGATCGGAATTTTTTTCTAATGCATACATGACATGCCTAAATGTATCACGGATATTTTTTTTTCACTTCTCATGCTCTTAAAGGTCGTATTTATGCTGGGTGTAGGCTGCATAAAATAGGATTTTATGCTCTAGTGCATAAAATAAAATAGTCGTTTAAGACCGAGGCAATGACGCCTGCGCCAACAGCCACGCACACTAGAACTTTACAAATGAAAGTTTTACTTTTGTTTTTTAATCCGTGTATATTACAAAATTAAAAAAGTAGGCAATAGTAATTCTAAGAAGTTATAAGAAATAGAAATGCATAAAAAATAAAAGCTTGTAAAATACTGAGCTAGTAAAGAACTGAGCATTATGTAGTCCGACCTGAGTCACGTGTAGAAAAAAAAAGTAGTATATTGGCGGAAAGTTCTTAATTTTTCTTAGCAATAGTTGTGTTATCGTTTATTTGTGATATTGCTTTTTAATTTCCTCGTAATCGAAGTGAAAAGCAGAGTGTATAACTCGTATACTCGCCTGCGGTTCGGGTGGATATACTCGTCTCGGGTAAAGTGACGCGTTTTATGCACTTGTTGTACAATCTACTATTATAACATCAAGTCGGGACGAGCAAGTCGTGCGCGTGATCGTAAGCTACACGACTGTCCATAACAGTTACAGTGCCACTCGGAGCTTTAAATCGCCAAGATCTGAGGGGCACCGCCACTGCACTCGTCACCCTGAGACATAAGTTGACAAGTCCCATGTCCCTGTTCACCAGCACCCTCACCCTTTAGCTGACATTACTGCTTGGCGGCAGAAATGAGTAAGGTGGCAGTACTGCCCTGGACGAACTCTTTCACAAGGAGCTCTACTGATACTGTCAAGATAGTGCCTCCCTTTGCGTTTTGCAACCCAGAAGAATTTGTTCGACAAGTGGCGCCATCTCTGATCGGTTTCCGGAACTAGAAAGGGAAAGTAGTATGTTTCGTAGCGTAGAGATGGCGCGGCGGCCTAACCTCTCGTTGCAGCCTGCGGCGCTCCTGCTTGAGCTGTTCCTCGTGCTCGTCCTGGTGGTCCTGGCGCGCCTTGAGGCGGGCCACCTGCGCCTCGAGCCGGGCCACGGCCGCGCCCTGCAGCGCCGCCTCGGCCTCCGCCCGCGCCGCGCGCCCCTTCGCCTCGGCGACTGACTTGCGGAGACTCTCCACTGGAATGCCATAGTCGAGAGCGTTTTTAAACCAAGTCTTCCATACACTACTGCCGTCCGCTAACTAAAGATATTTTTTTGAGAAATCGTAAAAAACCATAATCCAGTTTTAGAATATTGACATTGTTTAATGATGTTTCAGCTATGCGTCGTTAGGGTAAGTACCGATAAAACGAACGCGTTAACTAATTTTAACTGTTTTTAAAAGATAATTTGTGCTCTATTTTTTTTATATTTAAAACGGATATTTGACCATTTGTCACTTAGCCGCGTTTTTGTTAGTGGACAGCAGACTTCGTAATGATTGTGTATTATACAGTCGATACCTCCAACCAACACTACTTTATTTTTGGTCCTTTTCTAAGGCTTTTCTGTGATTGAAAACAACGCCCCACCTTGGAATTTTACAATAGAACGATGTTTATATTGGCACCTAAATTATTTAATAAAATACTAGATACAGTTAAAGAACTAAATTGTAGGCAATTTAAAATAAAATTACATAATTTGTTAGTTACACCATGCTACTACAATATAAATGATTTCTTAATTGATAACATAAAATGTAAAATGTAACCACTGTGCGTGATTTAAATAAGGATTGTATAAAATATTCGCATGCCAAGTTTTGGTGAAATGTACGATCTAATAATAATATACTATAACACCATTGTAAACTACATTTTTCAGCGAATAAATATCTTGTATCTCGTATCTTGTATCTTGATTTTTGTAAACAGCCATATTTATTTACTAATATTACGCTCTGTTCTTTATTTCTTTTTTCACAAATTTTGGAAATTTTGAAAAAAAAAACGAAAAAAAAAAACAAAAGAAACTAATTTTGTGAAAACAAAAAATAAAAACAGAACAGGTCAAAAACTAAGTTGGCGTATTCTTCATTATAATAATAACGCATACACTCAACATAGTCCCGCAATAGGCAAACCCTGTGTCGCGGGTGCCATAGACACACACATAGACAATCACAAATATCGAAATGCAATATTGAGTTGAGATTTTTTTAAAGTGGACCACAGCTGAATCTATCCAATCCCGCACCAATCCAAGGTAATTAGCCTTAAGGTAATTAGCCTTATAGAGAACCAAATGAAGTCCGTGCAAACGGGCTGGGGTTAGGACCTGACTTAGATGGTCCCTGTGCGGGCTTGCTATATAGTGCCCTTCCCGCATAACCAAGAGGTTGATACTATAAACAAAACTTATGTAGAAATTAATAGAGCTGTTCCTCCAATCCATTTAAGAAAAATATGAAGAACGATAAATTTCTCGACATCGGAATCTGAAACGGAGGATTGTAGGACTTTTTGTGTAAAGATTCCTGCCAATAACAATTAATCTCAGTACAGAGTACTAAAAAAACCCGACCCCAAAATTAATTCATCGCCTAGTTTGCCACCCTTACAGGTGGAATATTTTTTCAAAATTATATGAGACCACTACTCTTTCCAACAAAAAATAATTATCAAAATCGGTCCACGGAGAGCAACGCTGTGTTGACTTTCTTTAAGTGGACCACAACTGAATCAAGATGCTTTCATATACTCCTCCAATACATTTAAAAAATATATGAAGAACGATAAATTTCTTGACAGCGGAATATAGAAGGGGAATCCGAGGAGCTATCCTCGGATTCATAAAGGATGGTGGAGTAATTTAGTAGAACTTTTGTGTAAAGATTTCTGCCAATAACAAAAAATCATAAAAAACACTCACATTCATTTTCATACTCCTGATCGTGGTGGTTGGCGACGCCGTTGTGTCTGGCGGAACGTTCTTCGTTGAGCTGCAGCTTCAGCTTACGCACCTCCGACTCCAGAGCAGCGCGCGACGACACCAGCTTCTGCAACCGCACGTCTGCAACGAACAACACAAGTAACTATAAATACAAACGTGCCGATAGTAGATGCTTTGGCCATGATATCTAAACAGGGTTCTAAATTAGTAAAGCATTTTTTCTTAAATAATTACCATGATAATTATCTGAAAACCGATATTTATAGTAGCAGCAGAGCTCCTTGTGAGAGAGTTCATCCAGGGTAGTACTAGCACCTTACCTATTTCTACATCCAGCAGTAATGCCAGCATATCGAGTATATTATTATAACCAGAAACAGAGACGAAATAAGGGCCATCCATCCCTGGCAACTCATCAGGCAAATGGGCCTTATATCACTTTTAAATATCAACTCTCGTTTGAGCTGAAATCACAAATTAGAAAGCAGAAATAGTACAGCGCCAACAACTGACAAGTGTGTACGTCTCCGTATATTCCAATAGTATTCTGTATCTGTATAATTTATTGTAACAAAGATAATATCTCTAACAATGGTCGACTGTTCCATTTGGTGGTGTGGAAAAAACAACAAAACACCTGATTATAAAACAAACGGAATCACATTTCATTGGTAATCAAATACTAAATATTGTTTTAATTTTCATCCATTATAGTTAAACTGGTCGATTAGAAGTGAAACATTTGACATCTGACAATTCAGGCTGGCCAAACGGAGCGCAGTTGTCACCATAATGATTTGGCAGAATAGTTTTCAAACAAATTACATGACGTTTCGTCTCTATTTCTGGTTATATATTCGACGTTAGCATTACTGTGTTCCGGTTTTGAAGGGTAAGGGTGCTGGTGAAATTACAGGCACATGGGACATGTCAACTCATGTCTCAGGGTGACGGGCGCAGTGGCAGTGTCACTGTTATGAACAGGCGTGCAGCTTACCATTAGGCGCACGACTTGCACGTCTTGTCACTTAATATTATTAAAACGCGTGAGTGCGCGTATGTGTATGAGTGTGTTTGTGTGTGTTTATCACTATCCACAACAATATTTTGTTTTCAGACCTCATTAATATTACCATTTTTATCTTCACAAGAACGACGACTTCAATAAACTGTTCTTTGTGCCTTTCTTGCATTCGTAATTATTTAGAGAACAAAAGAAAACACAACAACAAAACATACCCAGCGTGCCTTCCCCAGCATCCAGCAGCAACTGCTCCGACTGATGCGACACGAGCGCTAACGGTGGCACAGAGCCGAACCCTTGCGCGACTTTCGTGTCGCCTTCGCCCCCCTCTCCCTCCCCGTTCGCTGCGATCGCGGCCTCCACAAAGGCGAACCCCGCTGCGGCTGCGGCGGCGTCCCGCGCCCTAACCGCGTCACGCGCCGCGTTTAATTCGCGCTCTAGCGATGCGTGCTCGCGTTTTAAACGCTCGTGTGATGAACATTTTTCTCTATGTTCCCTCTGGAAAGAAATTGAAATGAAAAAATGAAATTCTTTATTGGACATTCAAAATTACAATACCTACAGTAATAGAAGACAAGTTAACAGCGGACCCCTCACTAAGCTCAAGGCTAGTATCGCGGGACCCAAAATGATAAACAACTTATTTTCACTATTACATGAGCCAATTAGTGCAAACACACATTAGTTACAGAATCAAATTAAATTTGAAACATTATTAAGTTATAAAACATTATTAACTCGTAAAACATTATTAAATTATTAGATTAATAGAAATATTATTAAATTATTCTAACATTATCAAAACATGAAAAATGTACACAAAACTTTTATGGGATGCCATTGCCAACAGATTGCCATCATCAGCATCTATGCGACGTTTTTTTCGCACTAATTGCATAGATATAAAGTCTTTTTTGATCAACCCAAGCTAAGCACCAATTGTGGTGAAGTGTTTACTCCGCAGGTACTGGTGCGATTGATGAGGTTCTCCTCCTCCTAGTGAAAGAGTTCGTCCAGGCAGTACAGCCACCTTACATATTTCAGCCACCAAGCAGCATTACGAGCATTGATGGGGTTTCGATTTTGAAAAGTAGAAACATCTCGTAAAACACGCAAATAAAAATATAATGGCTTCTTCGTCTTTTTAGATTGTTTACACTTCGATTTTTAAACGTTTGGATCAAAACAAGTTTTCCCATCGAAGAAATAGACTGGAAAAGAAATCTACCTGTAGTTGCGCGTGCTCCTCGTGCAGCTCCTCTATCCGGTCTTTGAGCAGCTCGAGCTGATACCCCAGCGCCGCCTTGTCGTTGTCTAGCTGCGCGTTCAGGATCATTGCCTTGCGGAATTTCTCCTCTACTTCTTTCAATTCATGCTGGAATCATGAAATCGTGTATAGTTAAACGATGAGCACCGTACAATGCTTTGCTAACTTAACAACTTACATATTGCACGTGTAAATGCCCATAAAAGACGGTTCACAACTCGCTTCGCCAGGGATCAGCCACAGATAAGCATTTAAAACTATACTGTACACTTTTTACTTATGTATTATGGAAATTGTGGTTCACGTCAACTCAACATCCTATTCTACTTAATACTACTCCAACCTTAGACTTTCAGAGAACCTAGATATGTTGAAATAAATATACGGTTTTGCCTAATTTTATGCAAAGTTAGAAGTTACATGAAGTTGGTCTGGTCTAGGTATTCTATTGTAGCTGCCTTGGAGTCAAATTCGTTCGTTTGGCGCTAAATATAGGGAATTTCCTAATATGACTCCAATTTGATGGTTGTGGTTGTTTGGAATGTTATTATTTTTATTTTACTATTAAGAGCTATGCTATGTATCAAAGCGTATGTTCTTACCCTAAGATCCTTTATGTTCAAGGAGTCATCGATGGAGTCCTCGGAGCTGCGCCGCGGCGAGTGCAGCGACGAGGCCGTCATACGCGAGCCCCGACGACCCACCGTCTCTATAAACGATAGCATAAATATATGAAATTCAGCACATCACCATTCACGTCGCAATATATGTTACCGCTTCACGCGGAAGATGACGTTGTTTGTGTGGGTCGTGCTGTCAAATCCCACACTTATCACGGAGAGTGGGCGAGACTAGTGGGTGGCGACGACACGTAGAGACGGGTTCAACATTTCCCGAAAATGTGTAAGATGTGGAATGATTACTCACCTGAGTACATATCATAAGCTTTGTTAGCATGGTCTTCCTGTTCCCGTTGCTGTCGCTCAAGCTCGCGCATGCGTATCTCGCGCGCTTCCGCCCGCGCCGCTCGCCGCGCTGCAAGGCGCTGCTCTGCCTGCAAAGAACACGTACCTTTATACACACTTTTCGATATGACAAACTGAAACCCTGTCTAAACGACGTAATGTATAAGTTTTGAGACTGGAATTTGGACAGTTTTTTTAACGTCCGTGATTCATCGGATCGAGGAATTGGAGTGCTTCGTTTGAATCTACAAAAATGTGGTGATACTTTTACTTACAACTTCCTTAATCGTCTAGAAAAAGCCAATGTTTTTTTCGCACCCTCAAGAATACTTGTTAAAACTCCTATTAACCTATGTAGTTGAGTCCACGGAAGATAAATGATCTGTGGTTGAGTCTATGTAGTTGAATTTATTTGGTTGAGGTAAGACGCCGCTAGATGGCTTTGAACCATTTTTGTGCATTTAGGATGCGCTATTAAGTTGTTAACAAAAATTTTATCTACTGTCATGTGATTTAGACTATAATGAACTAGACATGGGAAAATTTTCGTTCAAATTGGAAGACGTTCGTTTTATTTGCGTATTTTTGAGACGCAATGTTACACTTTGTAACCTTGTAATAAGGCCATATCTGCATAACTTTTTAATGGAAAGTAATAAAATTCACATATACGTAATTTTTTCGTAGTTCGTGTTGCTTTTATGACTGTCATGTTGTGAGAAAAAGTCTTTTTGACGAATAAACACATGAATTTATTACAGCAAAAGTACGACTTCTTTTGCTTATTGGAGAAGTTTGCTTATCGCCAGAATCCAATTTTCTGCTTAACAATTTATGAGCGTTTTGCAGACTGCCATTCAACGAGTATTGTGCGAGCACAATGTGAGCTAATTTGACTGTCCTATTAAAGTTTGATGTTGAAGAGCTGACTTACCTCGAACAAGTGACGTATTGGAAAGTTTTTTGGGAAATTGTCAAATAGATTTAAAACTAAGTCAAGAGCATATCAACGCTTGAAACTTTGGACTGTCCTTATTGTAAGCGACATAGAGTTGAATTTAAGCGTCACCCTTGATCTGCTTTTGAAGATAAACGAAACAAAACCGACAATGTTTCTCATATGAAATAGAATTACGTTACATACGTAGTCTATGCCACAACATATCTGATCCCCTGGCCGACATTTTGGATCTGAGAGCCTTCTTATGCATTCGACAGAAACGTGTTGTTAAAAACAGTTAACATAAGAATGAATGCAAACTCCTGACAATAAGTGACGAGCAATGTTGCGTCACTGCAATATTGCTGTGCTATTGTTCCGAGGACGCTCTCTGTTCCGTCAACTTCCCCTGCTGTTAGTCATTGCACAATTCTTACTAATTAAACAGATATACAAATTTAAAGTATTTCATACTTATTCAACACGTGTAAAGGAATTGCAGCTTTATGGTTGCAGTTGGTATTTATTTAATGTAATTAAGCCGGGTACTGGTACGGGTACGGGTACCAGTGAGATGTAACCGTAACCGTTGCATGTTATGTAACCAAAAATCATAGTATACGTGGTTCGCGAGATTGCCGCGAACGGTACGCGTGCGGTTCGCAGTGAGCCGTCTAATGAAGACTGTTTTAAGCGTACTCACTAGAACCTCGTTACTGTATTTGCACGTTACAATTACAGCTCGCTAAGGAGTACCGGGCTCTAGAATGAGTTATCGTCGGCTCACTGCGAACTGCACACATTCCGCTCACGGCAAGCACGCGAACCACGCACACTGCACACTGTGAGTTTTGGTAACGGCTACGGTTACAGTTCGCTAGTGAGTACCCGGCTTTAGCGTATAGACTGTAACGTTGTTTTTTTAAATCAGTCAGTTTTCCAAAAATGTTGTGTGTGTACTTTTCAAATTACGTACTTTAACTATTTACGTACGTAACCAAATGTGATTTCATAGGTATTGTCTTCATCAAATTCAATTAACATAGTCGTTGAAATTGTACTAAAATGCGCTTCCACCATAGAAAAGTAGGTTAATGCTATTTCAATTTTTCAACGCAAGTTTGTCTCTAATTGGCCCTAAGAAGAGCTATCTTCATTTGTTTTTTTTTTCTTTCAGATTTGTTTTTTTGAAAATTGATTCTACTTGTTTATATTTTCATTTGTGTTGTTTTCTATTCTATGTTTGATTTCGTTTATTTGTGCTTCAATTCAATCCTATTCAATTTATTTCTAGGTCTTGTTAAAAAAAATCACATTTGGCAAGTGAAAATACTATAAAAATTAAAATAACTGAAAACACCTTATTACTACAATTTCATTAAATAAAATGAATAAAAAATTATAACAAAAAAAAAAACAAAAATTGTCATTTAAAATACTAAAATAATATAAAACAAAAATTATCAACATATCAATAATGTAATAAAATTCAGTCTTATATATTTCAAACAATTATTATAAAAATTGGTATTTTTTTCATAGATACTATACGAATTCCTCAGTTTAATATATTTGCTGTAATCCGTTTGGTTATTATTTTCATCGGTGTCAATTTACTTTCTTAACTTCTCAGGCCGTTGCACTCTCGCACACGAACAGCAGGAGAATCAATTGGTTGCATTGTATAGCAATTAGGATTACAAAAAACTAGTTCCGAGTAACGTTACTGGCATATAAAGAACACATGTTTGGCAAGATAGCGCCGACGCAGCGTGCCGGCAAATCTATTGAACTGGGTTACATCTGATAGTTTTGTTAATTGCACGCCATACCGTCAGTTAGTCGCCGATCTTGTTGTTAAAATTAAACTGGTAGCGTCGAAAATAACTAAAGGTATGTTTATTTAAAAAGTGCATCAAATTGGATATGGTTTCAGATACTGGTGGCTTTCTAGTTTTACGGCCTATCTAAAACTACCTAATCAACAGTTTAAAAGAAAAATTACAAAATTACGGCGTATCTGGCGATTGTTTTAGCCAGGGATACGCTGTGTCTTATTAACAATAAAATTTAGCTTATTTAGTAGGAAGCTATGAAAAAATATAAATATTTACTTTATTTTACTTTGGGTCATTATTATTTGTTGCACATGGGACTTGTCAACTTATGTCTCAGGGTGACGGGCGCAGTGGCAGTGCGGCTCTGATCTTTGCGGTTTAAAGAGCTGAATGGCTCTGCAATTGTTATGGACAGGCGTGTAGCTTACCATGAGGCGCATGACTTGTTCGTCCCGTCGCAAGATATAATAATTTAAAAAATTAAATGTTTGTAATGAATGGATAATTAAATGGTTGAATTAATGAAATGTCCTTTACTAATTAATGTACATTAAAAAATTACAATGACAATGGTTCTGTACCAGAAAAACCACAGGCTTCAAAATTTTGCAGAGTGGTTCAACATGAGTATCACATAACTCTTCTGAGCTGCAATTTCACGGGCCCAAGTTGTTATAAGGGTTATAATGATAGCCAATCTCCGGTAGCAGATGGCGCACCAAGAAGACACAACATATCGCGAGTGGTGTGTTGTCATCCATATAAACACACGGTATTATACCCGCCGTGCACCCAACCCAACACGTGCCCGACCCGAACCCTCTCTCTGTGTGTTTCACGCTTAAGGGTTGGTGGTTGGACCCCGAAACGTTTGTTTGTTTGTTGATAATAATAAAGTTTAAAAAACCGACCTCAAAACTCTGCTTATCCGCTTTCGCTGTATTCGTTACATCTATTTGTAATCGGTTAACGGAAAGTGGGTGAAATCCAATAAACCGAATCCATCCCCTAATGAGCCACCCTTAGAGGTGAAATATTTTCTTCAAATTTGAGTCGGACCACTATCTCTTTTGAACAAAAAAAAGAATGGTCGATATCGGTTCACAGATGTTACAGTAATCGTCGAAATGAGAACTTTCTCCTTTTTTGACTTTAAGCCCATTATGTACCGAGGTTTCCAGTGAGTTATTCAAATATTTTATTGCCACACCTGAGATGGTGGCATTGTAGTCGTTTAGCGCGAAATTTGGCATTTCACAAAACTACAATAGATGGCTTCGTTACATGTATATGTACTTGTGCGTAGGCGGATTCTCGTGGAATATTAGTTACGTCTTCCATACAACCGGTTTAATCGTCAAGTCTGTAAGCACCTTGACGATAAATTGGATCTCATAGAACCTGTATAAGTATGTAACCTATTGAATATAACTACAGAAATGTAGGTCACGGTCTGTGTGTAGAGTTTATCACAAAAATAACAATGTTTGTATGCTACAGGACTTTTTAATCTGGTTTTTAATTGTTAATTTTATTTTTATATTACCAAGTGGCAGGTCGAACAAGCCTTACCCGGTGGTAAGCGAAACGCCAATCCACAACAGTTGCATTACCACTCAGAGCTTTAAATGGCAAAGATCTAAGGGGCACTGCCACTGCGCCCGTCATCCTGAGACATAAGTTGACAAGTATATACCGTGTGCCTGTAATTTCACCAGCACCCTTATCTGCTCCACTGCCTTCGTGGCCAAACGGTTACCATGCAGGTCTGTCACGCAGAGGTCCTGGGATTGATTGGGTTTGGGTGTAATTTGTGATTGACCATGTGTGTGTCGGGACGCAGTGTTTCCCTAGTGCGTTGTAAGTGCGCGCTAGGGCTGTAAAGGTGTGCTCATCTTTCAAAACCAGAACGCAGTAATGCTCATATTACTGTTTGGCAGCAGAACTATCACTAGGAGCTCTATTGCTACAATGGCTTGGAGATTTCCATATACCTATTACACACCGACTTCAACACCGTTACAACTCAAAAAATGGCAAAAGTGGCAAGAACCAATCTCGTTTGTGTTTACGAATAAATACCCTTTTCATAAGTCATAAAATATAGCTTTAAAATAACTTCGAACTGAGTATAATGTTGCCATTTTTTTTTACCGAAAACTGGGAAAGTTTCTGTATACGACCATAGCAGAACCCATGACATGAAGATTTGTGACTGGTTGGACATTGTTGTAGTTGGTGTTCGATATAGATGATGCACGTTACTATGTGAGTTTTACTGCATTCCGATTTGAAAGATAATAGGCAAGGT